GGCAGCCAGGTCAACATTTCTACAGTATTCCACCAGTTCTTAACCGCTTCTTCTACGGTGCCACCCAGGGACCAGCGTAGCGTTCAGTGTAATGGAAATGATATCGTCTGGTCGATACCCGTGCCAACTAAGTTGCCGTTCTTTAAGGTTGATAGAGAGGTAGATGACGTTGCGGTTGGCATGGAATGTAACGTTGGATGGGTGTTTGATAAGTGGCATTCGGAAGATAATTCATCAACACGAGAAGTCACATAAATTTAGCTTCTTGATGTCTCAATGTACAGATGTCACATACATAAAATAGGATTGCGGACAGCGGCCTGCAGAATTCGACATTGCGTCTTCAGAAAAAAATTCCGTCATTTTCACCATGGCTTGCGGAGCTGGAGGAAAGTTTTCTTTACCGCGCGATCCGAGCCATAATTCAATATTTCGACTGCCAGGTTGGAAAGATGGAGAACAGAAAGCTTTTGAAAGCGTTTCATTGCAATTTTTATCACAATCATAATCATGATCATGAACATGATGATCATCATCATCATCTGACGGGATTGACGGCGTGTTTCTTCGCCATCTATCACCGTTAATTAAATAAAACTGTACTCTTCCTTGCTGCCGCTTTTGACAAAGACCTGTCGTATGCACGCATGATCGCAGATGCAATTTTATACCGTGTTATATTTGTTGAGAAACCAATGCCATATCCTTCAATATCCCTAATTAAAGAACGTTATTTTATGCGTCGTGTTCTTGTTTGTGACTTACCAAAAGATTATATCATCTCTCGCGTAAAGAAATCATGTACGTTTTTCATCGTGTTGTATTCTGTTAAAATCATGCTTGAAAAATCTTCATACTCATTCAGCACCATACACGGATGACAGGAAGTGAGTTTTATTATTCTGATTTTATGGTTAGTACCAAGAAAAATGCTATCTGGAATCAGACGAAGCATTTACCTATGTTTACTATTTAGAGATAAACAACTTTTATCACTGATGTTTCCCTGATAAGGGCAGACACCGTTTACTTATCAAAAGAATAGCTTTTTTAGTACTGTTTCAAGTTATATTTGAAGTTCATCGTTCTATGATTCATGGTGTTATTAACAGATCTAATGACCTAGTGTTAATTATTGTATAGGGTTTGTATCCTCTGCTACTTCTTTTCTTTCTTGACTATGATTATTCTAGTAATATACTATTCCTGAGGAACAGTTACTCAGTCAGACAAATGTGTTTATAGTCGACAAGGAGCAGTAAAGTCTTGGTCTGCTGGTAAGGCAGTCGTTGCATAGTTTGGCGATGAAACACCGTCTTTGCAATGCGAAAAATCTTCTACGTTGTTATGAGTAAAATTAGAGCGATGTTAAGACAACTGGAAAAGAAAATTTTAAACGATGTAATTAGTGGTTGAGACAAAACGCTCAAATTTAAAGTTTCGAATGCGCTGATTGAAATCTGGTGTAATTTGTCGTTCACTTTAAATGACGTATTTTTTGTATATAAAAAGGCTTGCTGCATCCTACGGCATGCGCGGCTTGACTATCCAATGGCGTGTGTACCGAATAGCATTGTCACTAAAACGCGTATGTCGGCGCTGTTTGGTGGTCTCAAGCATCAATCTACTTTTTATATGGTCTGATAATTAAAATTTACGAATTTTCGGTGGTACTGGGTACAGAATAAACTTCATTC